GCCGCACTATGACATTCACAGAGTAGTCATAAGCTGCTCCTGCAGTGTTGTGCTTTGAGCTTTGGGTCGTTGTCCTGTTGGAAGGTAAACCGTCAGCCCAGTCTGAGGATCAGAACATTCTGGAGCAGGTTTTCATTAAGGATATCTCTGTACTTTGTTCTGTTCAGTGTTCCCTCGACCCTGAATTGTCTCCCAGTCCCTGCCACTGACAAACATCCCCCCACCCTGATGCTGTCACCCCCAGGTGTCACCGCTGGGATGGTATCGCGCAGGTGATGAGCGGCGGCTGATTTCCTTCAGACCTGATGCTTAGAATTGAATCCAGACATTTCAATCTTGGTTTCATCAGTCCTGAGAATCTTATTCCTCATATCCTGCTAGTCTTTTAGGAGGCTTTAAACAAACTCCAAGTGAGCTTTCATCTGTCTTTTATTGAGGCTTTTACTGAGCCCAGATCAGTGGCATGCTGCAGTGATCTTCTGGAGGGATCTCCTGTCTCCACACAGGATTTCTGGAGACCAGCCAGAGTCACCATCAGGTTCTTGGTCATCTCTCCTAACTAGGCCCTCCTGCTAACTGCTCAGTTTGGCTGTGCAGCTCTTGGCTCTTCCAAACTTCTTCCATTTAAGATTTATGAAGGCCACTGTGCTCTTGGGATAATTTAATGTTGCAAAAGTTTTTTGCAGCCTTCCCCAAATCTTTGCCTCAGCACAATCCAGCCTCTGAGCTCTGCATGCAATTCTTTTTGACCTCCTAGCTTGGTTTTCCCTCTGAAATACATTGTTAACTCTGGGCCATTACATTGACAGCCGTGCATCTTTCCAAATCATGTCCAATCAACTGAATTAACCACCGGTTTGCTCCAAAACAAGGTGATTTAGAAAAAATTGATCAATAGAAATGGGATGCACCTGAACTGAATTTCAATTGAGTCCTGCTAAATTAAGAATTCCTACACCCCAAAATGTTAATAACTAATAACTAACACAGAAATCTTTGTAAAGACCTGAGACAAATGTTTACTGGGTGTATGCTAAATTTGTAAACAGGATATGGTGTGTAGCTTTTCATGTCTGCCACAATGACCCGGCGCCCCCCCCGGACCCAGTGTGACACTCTGCATGGGTGGCTGTTTGCCTTCAGCCTCCTATATTTAGTAACATCAGCTTCACAGCCGGGTAGGATGCTTCCCATATTTAAATATCCTGCCTCTGCTGTTTACTCGTCCCCAGACTTAATGGGGATTTTGAGTATAGACCATGTCTGTGGTCTCCACTGAATCACCATGTCCACCGATATGTTATTTCCCCTCAGGGTTGTACCAAGACATTCTGTCACCTCGGGCCCCCCAGGCAATATTAACATATCATTTTACATATTGAAGGGCCCCTGTGAAATGCCGGGCCCCCGAATCTGCCAGGGTATCGGTGCCCCTCCCACACCGCTGTGCCCGCTGACTCCCTGCTGGTGGGAATGTGATAATATATAATACAGAGCATGGAGCCCCATAATTAACATGAATTTAATCATTGATTCTTGAAGTTAGGAGATATTGATATTGGGGGGGGACACATCTTAATAATTGAAATACAAAGGTCTACTTATTGGTGGGGAGTGAATGAATCCAAATTAAATATTAGGGGACACACGCCCCCCCCCCCCCTTCCCTCCCTTCCCCCCTGCCCAGTTGCTATACCCCTGGTTAGGAGCATTTTAATATATTCTACATCTTCTTAAATGCATCCTGTCACTGGGTAGACACCCAACTGAGTTGGCACCTTTACCATCTTAGCTAAATAAGAAGGGAAACTTCAAATACATTATTAATCAATGTTTACTAATATTTTCAACTCTCAGAATATGGTATTTATTTTCAGTTTCAATCCTGTGGCATATGACTTAGCTTAGCCAGGCATATTCTCGCTCCTTGGCTGTGTTTCAGTGAGCACTGACTGTTTGTTTTCCTGCGCCACATTTTTGCTCCCTCCCAGCTCCCTGTCAGATAGTCCACATTTTTGTAAAAACATGGATCTGGGGATCCCCGAAAATCAAAGATGTAGCCTCTATCACACATCCTTGTCCCTGGTTTGGTGACAGCTTACTGAAGCCCCTAATTATTTCTGGACTACTGTAGCTATGATCAACAGGAGTCTAACTGACAGTAAATTTGTGAATTGTGTGAAACTGCTAAACACTGGATACACTAACAAAAATGAGTAAAACAAGAGGAGTAATATTACTTTTGAAAATGAAAGTAAAATAAACACGATCTGTTGCGTATTTCTTGAACAGTTAATATGAAAAACAAAACATGAAGCAGCTGAATTTCTGAGGCATTCCCTTTTAAGTCGTGTCTTCGTATATCGTCACATTACATCCATGAAACAACTACATCTGGTAAAGATTTGGCCTTCCCGCAAAAGTGAATTGTGCAAAAAATGCACGCTTCCTAGCAGGGGGCAATCTATGCGCTCAACACATACAGGTCAAGATGAAGTCCTGAAAGGAGAATTGACTTCAAAAGAATACGCACTATCAGGACAGAACAACACCAAAGGGGCGAGTAAGGAAGCAGGAGACGTAAAGATTACGCTGAAGGTTGCTGGTTCAAGGAGGGGGTCTATTGTTACACCCTTTAGAAAGCAGTTTTGAATTGTTCTAGCAAAAAATTCAGCGGAATTAATGGGGAAAAGTGATCCAGTTAAAGTTCTCCGTTAAATGTTGAAACAGAAAATGTGGCATATCGATAAAGAATGTAGTAATGAAACAGCTGGAGAGGTACAAACTTTTACAGGTCATGAAAAATTATGCCCAGCGGTATATAACACAAATGGATAGCTCAGCCTGTCACAGAGTCGGCTCCTATACCGCATTAGCGCTTTAAGAAAGAGAGATGGATGGGTGAACGGATTTCTACATGGACAGATTCTTTTCTCTGAGTTGGATTTTTTTAACAAATAACATTTCAACTCAATGATACATCTTAATGAGAAAATCTTTGGAAGACAGTGTCTGATACAGTGTTTTCACTTTTGCAGTTATGTATTTCAGATCAAGTAATTCTATTGGCTGCAAATTTACAGATAATAGTGTCTAACCATGGAGCCAAATCATTAGCTGAGAACAAGATAAAACTTACAATGTAATGGTACGTGAGGGGAAACTGCTTACAAAGCAGGAAAGGTTATCCTCAGAAGCCCTATGATCAAAGACAACATCGCTAGGAGTAGTCTGCAAGTAGAGTAACCAATCGCCCAGGGGTCCAGGGCTGGATTAGGGCCCAAATGCTGCTTCACAATGTAAATTTACCACGTTTGTATTACTACTCAAAGTAAAGCTTAAAAGTTACATTGATGGAATTGCAGGAACCATTTTTGTTTGCGTTAAGATAATCACACGTGGACATTTCAGAATATACTGTATGTGTGTGACATAATGTATTCTGAAAATAAAAGCATTTTCTGTTGCTTGCAATTTTGTGTTAGAAAACCAGGAAACATAACACCTGGATTGTGTGTTAGTCTAATTAAAAACAAAAAAACGTTATTTATGTCATTTCAGTGTTACTCTTGGCTCAGTTACTGTCAGTTATTTTTAATTTTCTATAGACTGTGATTAGTGAGGAAAAAAAACAAAGATTACTGTGTACAATTCTGAGATAAATGTTATATACTATTGTCAGAATTATTTAAAATCTAATATTAATTTTTGGAATGAAAAAAATTTAGAAGCAGAATAAAGTAATATACTAAATTAATCTGACAGCTGAAATGGAGGGAACATCATATCAAGAAAGCTCACAATGTTGTTTCCAGTACATTCTAGAATCCTTTCCACAGTCTGAACCGCAACATAAAATTGTGGTTATGCATCAGAACCTGAAGGAAATGAAGGATTCTGGTCTTACCCTCAGCTAAAAGAGGCCACTTTCAACAGATGACTTCAATGCAGAACTTGAAACTTGCAAATAGCTCTAAGCCATATCAGGTTTATCAGCTGAATAGTTACTCCGTTACCCTGATGCAGTTAGTGGTATCTGTGCAAACTGTGGTAAATTAAATCATTCCCTATTGAAAATCTATAGGCTTAAATTAAAATGGTGTCAAACTGTTAGTCTTCTATGATTTGTGGGTATAACTGGCATATTGTTCAGAGAAGCAATGCTAGACTTAAAAAATACTTTACAAAACACTTGAGTAACAGCGTACTTTGCACCTAATAGTAATGCAATGCAATACAATACCCAAACAAATATGGTGCATGTACAGTATGCTCAAAATAATTTGTCATAGACAAAAGTCAAAGATCCATCTAGGTACAGGACTGGGTGGAACTTCGTTCTTAAAGGTATCAAAAATATCTTCAGAAAGTTTGCTTCCTATCCACTCAGTGAATTTTACTGGATAAGCCTCACTTATGCAAATCTACAACATGTCAGATACCCTCTTGTGTTCAATTAAGGCATTACATGTCATGTTTTCACTAATGATTAATACACAGAATATTACATATGCCTGCTGCAATAATTTATTATGTGTCGTGGAATTAATGAGTTGAGTATTTTTAGCATTTTCAGGGAACATAAATATGATTATCCCACAATGTGATTATAAGGTTGTAAGAAATCTGGTTCTTCGTTGCGAGAGCCACTAGACAATTTTCGGAGGAAGAAGCAGATTTATTGGTATTCACTTAAGTGACCGAATCACAAACCCACACAGCTGGGGCCACTGCTCCCATTTTCTTTCTTAAAAAACTAACTTTATATAATTATAGATAAAATATTTGAACACTTTTGTGTTTTACAAACATGCTTATAGACCACAGATATAATGAACAAAACAAACTTAGTCCTTCACTTTCCCAGTATGTTTTTTTTATATGAGCTGTACACTAAAAATATATTGAATAAAAAGGCACATGGGAATGTGGGTACAAAGCCTTTATTTTGTTTGTATTTGCAGGATAAAAATGGGTCCTGCAGCTTCACTACACAATACAAAGTGAAAATTAAATGTATGAAGTATGTGAACATATTAATTTGGTATGGAACAGGGACTTCAGCAGCACTCAGCCATTGGGGCTTCAACAAAGTACAAACTAACAATTAAATTTATACATTTAACAATTAGTAAACAATCACAGGTGATGAAAGGGGCTTTTCCCATTACCTTCCTCCTTCCCCAGTCAAAAACATGCCCTCCCCTGTCTTACACCACGACACAGAAGCACTGAAGGCTTGTCTGAATTGGTTCCATGCCATGTAGGGAAAAGGTAAAGGCTATCGCAACCAATGTGTCAGGTTGGTGCCTGTGTGACCCTGCCATTTATGTCACTTCCCTGTTTGGCCAGTAGGGATTGCTGGCCATCCCAGCTTCTGTCTTTGAATCCTTTACTCTTGTGTATCTCTGTCAGTACTTGGACTGCTGCATAGCTCAGGGGGCTGAGCCTGTAGTTCTGTAATGATGGACCCATTGGTTGTGAGTTTGAACCCAGCATAAATCCAGTCTCACCTGTTTTTGGTTTCTTGTTTGACTTTTTGCTGTCCTTAGTGTTTGTAGTTTCAGATTATGATTTTCCTACGTCCCACCCATGGTCCACCCTCCTTGTGTTAGTTTCTGGTTTTGTGCCTTTAAATTCAGTAAAAGCCTTGTATTCCTAGCACTAGGTTAGTGTTTTCTAGTGCGTTTTTTAACCCTCCTAATACTGTGATTATCCCTATTCTGTAGTTTCACCTGTTGCTTGTGTTCTGTTTGATTGGTTGTCTTGTTAATGCTTCACTCCTGCGTCCTCATTAGCCCAGTTTGGTTTGTGTATTGTTTTCCCCAGTGACTCATTGTATGTAGTTGTGTAGGTGAATGCAGTGTGTCTGTGGATATGCTTTTTAAAAATTTTGTTAAACCCTTGTGTTGTCTTGGAGCAGCAAAGTTGATTGTCACACTCTTTTCCCGCCTGCACTGTGCCATGATACCATGACCATAAATGGCTCAACTCAACTTCTACCGTTACCAGACAAGAAGACGACACCATGTACCAAGTGGCCTTGGTCCCGTGCTGAGACTCTTGTATGTCATGGTCATTCAGGCATCATAAGTTTTCAGTAACTGGAAGCAGTTTGAATGAATATTCAATAGGGCCTGAAAGATTCCATTTTGTCTTGTCCTAAATGACTAATTCACAGCTGTCCATATTTAAGGTGTACATTTGAATAAAGACTTTTAAAAGAATTTAGATTTTGGGTGATCTGGAGACCACCTGGTTCACATGGTGACCACAATGAATATCATTATATTTAGAATGGACAGCAACAAGCTCACAAAGTTACCCAACTGTGACCAATATGTTTTCCTACAAAACAGCCTGGGGAGAGAGATCTGTCTGTCCTGCAAACGAAACAACCAGGCCGTTCCAGTGCTGCACTAAGAACAGAGTCCTATGTATACATAATCATTCCCTGCATTGCATCCCTAAATCTATGATGTTGTGTTAAGTCTGATATTTCATGGAAAGTTTCCCAATGCTTTATAGAACAAAGCTTTATATTCTTTAAGAGTGAAAGAATGACAAGCCAAAAAAGACATGAAAACACCACTGGCATAAGGCCAACAGCCTACATCTCTTCAGAAAATGTACCCCAATACTGTTTCTTGTTTAGAGTGTCTGTGTTAATGCTATTCAGAAGCCTGGGGCCTGTACTACGAAGTGAGGTTGCTGGCTTATCAGGGTTACTTGCTGGATTTAAGGTACCACAGTGTAAATGGACTTCATATTCGTTCACTTACATTTCTCCCAGACAACCTTAAATCTAACAAGTTACCCCGATAAGCCAGTAACCCCACTTCGTAGTACAGGCCACTGGTGTCAGGGTTGGTCTCCCATCTGACCCTATCCTACATGTTCTGTTTTGACCAGCAGGTGGCGGGCTATCCTTTTCCCTCCTCCATCTTGTCATCCCTTAGCCCTATCACGTTCTCCCTGTTCCCTGGGCTGCCGTGCAGCTCACTGGGCTAAGCACATGGCTCAGACTGTTAAACTCTTCAGAGAGCAAAACCTGTTTTGTTTGATTTTTGGCTTTCCCTAGTGTTTATCAGCTATCGGTGAATTCCTGCTTTTGGTGTTTCTCTATTTCAGTTGGTTCCTTGTCTTTTGCTCCTTGTCCCCTGTTTGCTCAGTTTTCCTGGTTATAGTTAACCCTTAGTTTTTATTAACTCTCCCTAGTCTCTAGTGCTGTTTTGCTGCTTAGTTTGCCCCAAGTCCTTGTGATTGGTTAGTTGGTTACAACTCTCACCTGTCAACCCAGTTTTGTAGTTTTTTTTTGTAGTGTGGTCTATTTTGTTTGAGCTCAGTAGATCGTCGCTGTTTTCCACCTGCGCCATGCCATTCCGCAACACCTAGCTGGGATATTTGCTGCACAAAACACACACAAACAAAATGTAGATTTTAGGAAATTTCTTTGACTTGCAGTTAACACACCATGGATTCATGTCTATTCAAAGTGAACCGGCAGGGAGAATAAAGCACATGCTATCGTAGATTTTGAAACTTCTCTGACTACATAATTTTCAAATCCCCTTAATATAGTTCCTTTATACAGACACAGGAAGAGGTATATGAGCCCCTCAGGGATGCACTCAAGCAGCAGGATATTGCACCCTGAGTCCTATGATTCACTGCAGCTGGGGCATTGATATTTCTAAAGACAGCAGATAAAAGCACATTGCAATGTAATGCACACACACACACACACACACACACACACACACACACACACACACACACACACACACACA